CCCGGGCCGCATGGGCTGGGCCGGGGACGGGAAGCCAGCTGGAGCTCAGTTACCTTTCACAGCCAGCAAACCAAGAGACAAAGAAATTCCCAGCCTTAGGGCTTAAGCTGCTGTTCACAGCTTGATCTCACTTTGCAGTGCTTAAAACTGCTGTCAATTCTTAGAAATGGCCAGCTGTTGGCGAGGAGACAAACTCCCATCAGCCGCCAGCAGTTTGAACTTCCTTAGGTGTTTCTCTTTGTTTTCTTCATTGCCAATCAATCACAAAACCCTACCGAATTCCAGAAACATCCCACAAAATCCCCACAAATGCCACAAAATGCCAGAAAAATCCCTCAAAATGCTTCAGCTCTCCTCAAAATCCCATAAAAGTCCCACAAAATTCCCTAAATCTTCTCAAAAGTCTACCAAATTCCAGCAACATCCACCAAAATGTCCTCAAATGTCAAAAAAATTCAACAAAAATGCCCTAAAATTCCCTAAATATCCTCCTTATCCCACAAAATTCATGAAACATCTCACAAAAACTCCTCAATTTTCCACAAAATTCCAGAAAAATCCCACAAAATTCTTGAAACATCCCACAAAATTCCCAAAGAATCCCAAAAAATTACCTAAATCTTTTCAAAACCCTTCCAAATTCCAGAGACATTCCACAAAACCTACACAAAAATCCACAAAATTTCAGAAAAATCCTAGAACATTCCCTAAATTTTCCCAATACCCTAACAAATTCCGAAAACATCCCACAAAATCTACAGAAATGCCAATATTTTTGAAAAATCCTACAAAATTCCCACAGCTCCTCAAAATCCCAAGAAATTCTTGAAAAGCTTTAGAATATTCCAGAAAAAATCCTACAAAATTCCCTAAATCATCTCAATATCCCAGAAAATTCTAGAAACAACCCAGAAAATCTCCACAAATGTCAAAAAAATTCAAGAAAAATCCTACAAAATTCCTTAAATCTTCCCAGAACCATACCAAACTCCAGAAGCATCCCACAAAATCTAAACTAACTCCCACTAAATCTAAGAAAAATGCCTCGAAAATCTTCAAGTCTCCTCAAAATCTCACAAAATTCTTGAAAAGCCCCACAAAATTCCAGGAAAATCTCACAGAATTCCCTACATTTTCCCAAACCCCTCTCAAATTCCAGCAACATCCCATAAAATCTCCACAGATGCCCATAATATTGAAGAAAAATCACACAAAATTCCCACAGCTCTTCAAAATCATACACAATTCATGAAAATCCTTAGAATATTCCAGAAAAAATTCACAAAATTCTCTCAATTTTCTCAAAACTGTCGTTCCGATTGGGAACGGCTTTAAAGAACGACAATGGACTCTCAAGGGAGTCACGACACGAGAATTCCCAGTTTATTGCTTCAGCCCTGTCTTATAGACAGATACGTGGAAAATACAGAAAGAAAACTCTTATTGGTTAACAAAGTGCTACATCACCATCATTGGTCAGGGGCACTTTGCCCCCCCTGACTCTCTCCTGCAAGGAGAAACAACAGGCTGCAAAACAACACCTGCAAGGCTGTTTAGTATCTCTGAGAATTGTTTTAATTCTTTCTCATGAATTTCTCAGGCTAGCCTTCAGTCAGGCCTGAGAGCTATGTGGCCTGTAATAACTACAGGCACTCTGGTTCAAATTTAGCATCCATAACTCACCCTTTTCTGTTAAATAAAAAAGCAGTGTTTGTTCTATATTCTACTGGGCCCTTGTAGAATAAAGAACAAACACAGCTCAAGAGGTTTTTTGCTAGAACTTTGAATGGATGCTGATGTAGAATTAATTTAGAATTTTGGTTTATGTTTTGGTATTTAGGATTTGTTCTCTTTGCAAGGACTTGATGGTTGAGTCTAACATTTCTAATTCAGTGAATTAATACACACACTATACAAAACTATATACAACATTGTTAGTCTGTTCGAATTGACAGTCTAACATGTCAATAGAGTAGTTTGAAAGAACACTAAAGTGATAAAAACAATGCACAATGCAATTTATATGCAATTTATGCTGCTTTGATCCCCTCTTCTTATCCCGCTTTTTTTTTTTTTTCTTTTTTCAAATACAATTGAGGGATTTTTGAGGGATTTATAAAGTTTTTATTGTTGTTCCTGTTGTTCGTCGGGTTTGAACAGTAGTTCATGAATTTCAGGAAGGTTTAGGGAATTTGAAGTTACCATCTCTTCACGGTTGGTTGTCAGTTCTGTAAACACAAAACTTAAAAAATGTACAAGTGAGTTAGTTTGGGTCCCGCAGGGACTGCAGGACGCTGGCACGGCTCAGGCCGCTGGAGTTGACGGACTCGTCGAGGTATTTCTTTGGGTTGGTGCAGAAAGTCCTGGTGGAGTGGCCCGCCGTTGTCTTTCTCTCCCCCCGCCACCTTTATGGGTGCGGGGGGGCCGCTGCTAGAGCTCAGATTGGGAGCGCAGCACGGCAAGCGCTCTCTCTCTCTCCCGCGCCTCCCCGCTGGAGCGCGGGGGGAGCGGTGGGAGGGCGAGCCGTCTTGCGCACGCGCGGGGCGAGCGAGGTTCGCCGGCCCCCCCCGCGCTTTCTCGCCGGTGCTTCGGATGCACGGGGGGGGCGATGCCTGCCATGGGCCTGGCCCCGGCCCCAGATCTGGGCTTGAGTTCGGGTTTTTCGGGGTTCTCGCGGCCAGCGGCAGC